ATTGCCTAAAATAATGTTCTCAGAGTGAAATCCCCAGACCAGCAAAATATCAGGTTGATCTAGAAATTTGTTAGAAATGGAAATTCTCAGGCTCGATCCAAGACCTACTAAATCAGAAATTCTGTGTGTATAGTCCAGCAGTCTGCGTTTTGAAAAGCCCTCCAGGTAATTCTGAGCTTGTTAAAGGTTGAGAGCCACTGCCTGAAAGACTAAATTCCAACACCTCAGATAATATAAAAAGTCTTTCATGATTCAGCCTCCAAATGTATCTCCTGCAGCCTTAATCTGTCATCAGCTTTTCACAGCCCACTGACTTTATTCTTCAAAAATACTAAATTATTTTAAGTGCCTGAACATGCCCTGTTGTCTCACACTTTCCTACCTAGAATACCCTTCCCAGTTATGCCTATCTCTAGATCTCTCTTTCTTTGGCAAACTGCAGTTATGTTTTTCAATCCAGCTTGCAAAGTTTGTGGCCAACGAACCTTTTTTGTTCACCCTCCACTTATGTTTTCTCTCTTAAGCATTGGCTGTTATATAACAATAAATCCTATTCTGTTAACAATTTCCTCTTTTTATGCCTATTTCTCCCATGAGATTCTGGGCTCCTTTGAGGGCTGGAGCTATAGAAATAGCTTACTTTATATCCTCAGCATCTAGCACAGTGTTGAAAATATATTAGACCAATAAATGTTTGTTAAATTGAAGTCCTGTAACTCTTAAGTTACAAAAGGGAAAGCACCCTAGATCTCCATAAAGAAAATACCAAATTCTTGGGCAGCGCCAGTGGCTCAAAGGAGTAGGGCATGGTTCCCATATGCCAGAAGTGGTGGGTTCAAACCCAGCCCCAGCCAAAAAAAAAAAAGAAAATACCAAATTCTCTTATACTGCTAGACACCTGTAAATCAGTGAATTGCCATAAAAATATTGAATCAGTACAACTGGTGTGATGCCTAGAGCCCGCATTTTGATAAATACCTAGTGAATCTCACATAGATAGTCCTCCAAAGAACTTTGGAAATGTTAAAATGCACCTAACCTATATTTATGCCACTAACCCAAAGATAAGGAAGATGTACTTTAAAACCTAAGAAGGTTCCAATGTATTTGGCAATATTTAAATTTAAGCATTTTATATGTAAGAGCACATACATACTTGAAAAAATGGGTAGGAAAACTTGTAACACATATGACAGCAGGGCTAATTTCTTTGTTTTATAAAAATATTGCAAATAAAGAAAATAATAGAAAAAATGTACATAGGAAAATGCAAAGAATATGAGGAGAGCTCACAAATAAAAATATACAAATGTTGGATATATGCCACAGGAAAAGTTGTGAAGAAACAAGAATTTTCCTCTATATTGATATGTATCTATATTGTAAACTCTTAGAAGATAATTTTATAATATCTGTCACAATGTTACATGCTAAATACCTATTCAGCATTTCCACTCCCAAGAATTTACCCTATGAATATACTTACAAAAGCATGTATGCAAGAGTATCATCATTGTATCCTCATTGTGATTGCAAGAGCCACAAATAAATGGTCTAGAAACACACTGTGTGGTCCATCGGTACTGTGGAATATCCCACTAAAAAGAAGAAAATAGGTCTGAGTACATCTCCCAGCTACATCAGGAAAAAAAGGAGCAGTAGGCATAATGATACATATAGACCACTCACATTGTTTTAAGTTTTACAGATGTAAGTAAAATTTTTCTGGGATATTAGAAACTAATTCTCACCTTTGGGAAGGGGGGTCTATTTGCCAAGAATGTTAGAATACTTTTCATTTTATTAAATTTTGTACTGCCTAAGCTTTTACTTTAAAATATTAAAATTTCTTTAATGTCAAATAATTCATCTTATTTGAACAGATGCTTCTTAGGCTAAAAATAGTTATTTTATCCTCTACAAACGTGAAAGTTTGGTATTGTGTATTTATAGATTTTTTTCCTGTGAATTTTAATGTTGAGCTATTCATTTTATAGGTGATTGCCCACTGATTGTCCAGTTTGCTGCTAATGATGCAAGTCTTTTATCTGATGCTGCTCGTATAGTCTGTCCTTATGCAAATGGAATAGACATTAACTGTGGTTGTCCTCAGAGGTAAAGCTCAAAGAAGTTGGAAGAATTTTCAAAAAGATTAGGAAAAAAACTATGTGGACATGGTAAAATATCTTTCTAGTTTTCCAAAAATTAAAAAGTAAGGAATATAGTATTAAAGCACCTGGGCTCAAACAAGAAGGAAGGAAAAATATCAGGAAGTGTTAAGTTAGGAATAGAATTTCAAAGATCTTTTCTGACCGCTAAAATAAAATATAGACATTTGAGAAGTATTTGGTCTCCCCTCACCACTAGAATTTTTGTGTGAACCTGCCTTGAACCTCATCCATAAGTAGTTACATGAGAATGTAATGATTATGGCAGTCCCTAAGATGTATTTTTACGGCCATCTCAGATATACTTGCTGTAAAACCTGATACTTTAATTTAGGAGAGTTCCACATTTTTTTTCTCATTAAAATCCCTTACAAAAATACCTTTTTATAATGACCTTTTCTTTCTATACCAGTTATTTGGTTGGGTTTAAGTAACTGGATATTGATAGGGTATACTTAATTGGACAATAATATCCCTACCATACTGGCACTGTATACTAGGTTATGTGTCAATAATTCAAAATGTGTCCAAAGAATAAAATCAAGGCTTTAAGTACAGCATAATCCAAATCGGATTAGACATATTTGTATACTCATTAAGCAAGTTAAATAAGCTGTTTTGTGGTGTTGGAATGCTGTAAGCCAAAAATATCTTTCTACTCTTAAGACCACTAAAACCCCTTGTTATACACAATAAACATCAAATATGGAATTTAAAAAATCTAAAGTAATTGCAGTTAATTACAAATACTTAAAATCTGTTTTGGTTGAATGAATTTTAATTTAATATTCTCACTTGCCAGTGAAAACCATTTCCCCTGAATACTTTTTGATCTGGGAACATGTTTTACTAATCTCATATTGATCCACTTAGAAATGTTGGCTCTACAAATTTTTTAAATCTGCTTGCATTCTAGATCACCAGAGAAACAGATAGATGCAGTTACATTTCAGTGCTTTTATAATTTTATCTTCTCTTCCAGCGATTTATAATTCATTTGTTCTTATGTTTGCTTTATAAAGGTGGGCAATGGCAGAAGGTTATGGGGCTTGCTTAATAAATAAGCCAGAGCTTGTTCAAGATATGGTGAAACAAGTAAGAAATCAAGTGGGAAACCCCAGATTTTCAGTTTCTATTAAAATAAGGTAAAGACAATATTTCAATCTATGGACAATATAGTCCATTACTTAGGAAATAAAAGAATATTCCTCTTCTCTTGTGGTATGGGAGTGTCTATGCTAAATAAATTAGTAGCTAGTGCATGCATGGAAATGTTGAGACAAGATATTTAGTAAATGAATATATACCATAATTTTTACTTAATCCTGAACAACATCCTCCCTTGTATTTTTTTTTTTAATGGTATTATTTATAGAGAAGGATACAGGGCTTTAAAAAGGGTTGAGAAAAAGGTTTTAAATTTCTCACCTGGTAGATTGAGATTGAAACAGGACATTTTTTAACACATAGTCAGGATTTTCAGAATTAGTGAAAATCTTTAGCCATTTTTATATCTATCACTTGCATTACCAGACTTGGAAAATGCTGTATCTCCACTAAGTCTAGAAAATTCAGGGCTTATTAGAGCATCCAGCTTGGCTTGGAGTTCTCGTTTTTTCTTTTTGAAATTCTTATGGAAATATACTTTGATTAGCAACCAAAACATTTTCTACAACGTTAACTTGGCATTTATATCAGAAGTTTCTTTTGTTAGAAAAGTAAAAGTGATAGTGTGAATTATTGTACTAAGTTTAAAGATATTTGGTGACTGCCACTAGAATTGCAGACTCAATGTACCTAAACATAAAAATCAGTCTTCAGAGGTTTTGCCTATTCAGTACAACCCAGTCATTAATAGCATTCCAACAGAAGTATACCATACTTCCTATATTGTTTAAATGTACATTTTTCATATTTTGACATAATCTGATACTGGGATTTGATTTAAAATTTTTTGACATGTTGAATCTATTTTTATTTGTACATCTTATAGCTGATTGTTTCCCAGAATATAAAAATCTATGGTCAATGACTTGAATGAGAACCAAACAATTCTTTTTATTTATTTATATATTTATTTATTTATTCTTAGTTTACTACCCTAATTTATTTTTCAATATGTTAATGGTGTTGCTATACTTTTAAAATTTGAGCTCATTTGTTCTGCAAAATGTCCTTTGATTTGGGTTTCTGAGATTAGGTTCTCCTTTTCCTACTCCACCTCCTCCTACTCCTATTCCACCTCCTCCTACTCCTTTTCTTCTCTTTACAGTAACATATGTCATATTGTATTATTATCAAGTATTATATCATGAGTCAAGTCATCAATTTCTTTCATTATTGGTGATGTTACATTCCATCACTTAAACATTCCTAAAGTAAATTCCATATGTCATTGCATTAAAATCTGGAGATACATAAATCAATAATAAACCTTTAGTTTCAAAAATTACAGATGTTGGTAGGTGAGCCCACTTGCACATATTAAATTACAAATGTGGTAATTGCTTTATAGTAAGGGTATTACCTAGAACATAACAAGGGAAACAGAAGTCAGAAAATCTAGCTCTGTCAAGGGAGAGTCAAAGAAAGCACCAGAGTGGAAAAGACATTTGGATATGTTCTTAAAAAATGAATAGCAATTTGCTAAGTGAAAAAAAATATAAGGATATTCTTCCATCACAAGAAAGACTAGGAAGTCACAAAACAGCATGGGAGTTTGCAAAAATGGGCATGTATTCAGTAGTATTTCTATTTTTTTTTATGAAGCAAAAAATTATATACTTGAACAGAGAAACACATTTGTACAATTGTTGAGAGTTCAGTATTTCCCTTTCAATAATGGAGAGATAAGTGAGAAAATAAAGGACTTAAATAATACAATAAACCAACTAGATCTAACAGACGTATGCAGACCACTCTCCCAAACAACAGCAAACATATTCTTCTCATGCCCCTGGGACATCATTTTCCAGGATAGTCCCTATATTAGGCCATAAATTAAGTCCTAATAGATTTTTCTTCTACTTTTTTTTTCTGTTTTTTGAACCAGGTCACATTAATTGCATTTGTTAAAGTCCCTCTTATAATTGTGTCCCACCCCCAAAAGGTGTGTCATACAATGTGACTGCCCACCCCCCTCCCTCTTTCCTTCTCTCTGCTTTCCCCCCTCTCCCACCCCCCACCATGTACTAGGTCATTAATTATCCTCGTATCAGAATTGAGTACATAGGATTCTTGCTTCCCTATTTTTGTGATGCTTTACTAAGAATAATGTGTTGCACTTCCATCCATGTTAATACAAAGGCTGTAAAGTCTCCATCTTTTTTTAATGGCTGAATAGTATTCCGTGGTATACATGTACCACAGCTTGTTAATCCATTTCTGGATTGGTGGGCATTTAGGCTGTTTCCACATTTTGGCAATTGTAAATTGAGCTGTAATAAACAGTCTAGTGCACAAGTGTCCTTATGATAAAAGAATTTTTTTCTTCTGGGTAGATACCCAGTAATTGAATTGCAGGATCAGATGGGAGTTCTAGTTTGAGTTCTTTGAGGGCTCTCCATACTTCCTTCCAAAAAGGTTGTATTAGTTTGCAGTCCCACCAGCAGTGTAAAAGTGTTCCCTTCTCTCCACATCCACACCAGCATCCGCAGTCTTTAAATTCTGTGATGTGGGCCATTCTCACTGAGGTTAGATGGTATCTCGGGGTGATTTTGATAAGTAGAGACATGAGCGTTTTTTCACATGTTTGTTAACCATTCATCTGTCTTCTTTAGAGAAGGTTTTATTCATCTCTCTTGCCCATTGATATAAAGAATTGTTGGCTTTTTTCATGTTGATTATTTTGAGTAACTGTAGATCCTAGTTATCAAGCTTTTGTCTGATTCCAAATATCCTTTCCCATAGTGTAGGTTGTCTATTTGCTTTGGCTATTGTCTCCTTAGCTGTACAGAAGCCTTTCAGTCTAATTAAGTCCCATTTGTTTACTTTTCTTATTGCAGTTGCCACAGAAGTCTTCTCCATAAAGTCTTTCCCCAGGCCAGTATCTTCAAGTATTTTTCCCATGCTTTCCTTGAGGATTTTTATGTCTCATGGCTTAAATTTAGGTCTTTTAGCCTTCTTGAATCAATTTTTGTGAGTGGAGAAAGGTCTGTGTGCAGTGGGGAAGGGTCTTAGCCACCCACCACCCCCAGAGGAACCCTCTCAGGCCATAGTAAGCATTAATAATGTCTTTCATCTTCCTTGTATTTTTAACATAAATTAAAACTTCTCTTTATTATTAAAATGTTTTGCCAAACCCTCAACTTTGTCTGTCCACATGCTATTTAATTAATGCTAAGAAACATTCTTAGTACAAAAAGTAGAAAATAGGAAAAATATTTGCACTAAAATTTTACAAGGAAAAGAAAACAAACCAGTAAGCAGTTTTTGGTAACAATTTCAAGGTAAAGTATTGTGTTCTCCACTTGGGACTTGGTGCACCCACATCAAATATAAGATAGCATCTTTCAATCCATCCATAACAATACTTTGAAGGCTCTTTCATTTACCAAAGCCAAAAGATAAGAGCACTACCTAAATTTTTTTGTTGTCCTATTGTTGCAAATAGTGAAAAAGCTAAATTTGAGATCTTGGGTGGGAACTAATGCCTGAAGGAAAGTTTGCTGATAGTGGCATGGACTTATAATATGCTATAGCACAGCTAACTACATAATTTAGTAGACGAATTTTCATTTTAGTTAATTAATTTTATCTTAATATTTACATGAACACACAATGTAATTTTGAAATTATAGGATCCATGATGACCTTTCAAGAACTGTAGATCTTTGTCGAAAAGCTGAAGCTACAGGAGTTTCTTGGATCACAGTTCATGGACGAACTACTGAAGAAAGACATCAGCCAGTGCACTATGATGCCATTAAAATAATTAAGGAGAATATGTCTATACCTGTAATTGCTAATGGAGACATCAGAAGCTTAAAAGAAGCAGAAAATGTGTGGCAGAATACTGGGACAGATGGTAAGAAATACGTACTTGGATTTTTTTATGTTTTAATTAGGAAAAAAATAAGTGAGAATGGGAAAGTAATGCTATTTTGATTTTCATTAGTTTTCTTTCACACTGAGCCATATTTTCTCACTGTACTGATTTAAGCTAAGATAATGTTAATTCTCCTACTTAGAAATAATAGATTATTTTAACTGGGGTAAATTAATTCGTTTACTTCTCTGACACCATCATATTTAGTGACCAATTAAAAATCTTCCAGATATCCTATTAGTGATATTAAGTACCTGGAATAGAAGTAATAGTTAATGAATTCAAGGAGGAACCCCAGAACCGCTGTGCAGTTTTATTATCCCCCTAAGTTATTGACATTCTAAGCCAAGCCCTATGATAGCAATTGCTAGATGAGATGCAGATAAACTGTGGTTTAAGCAACCCAGTTTAAGACAATCTGGATTTACCCTAAAGAAAAACTAAAGACTAATTGTTTAATGTAGAAATCTTTAAAAAGAATTTTATGAGTACATTTCAACTTTCTTGATTTGCAAAAGGTACCAAAATAAATTGTTTTATAACTGAATTAAAAAGACCAATATAAGGTCATTGTGAAACCTTGTAATAATACTTTTTTTTTTAATCTTCACAATTTGTTTTGTTTAGCTTGAACTAATAATTATAGATTCTTACTATATGGACAAATATGGTGTACTTTAATTTGTAGGTGTGATGGTTGCAAGAGGACTCTTAGCAAACCCGGCCATGTTTGCTGGATTTGAGGAAACCCCGCTGAAGTGCATCTGGGACTGGGTTGACATTGCTCTGGAACTTGGAACTCCTTACATGTGTTTCCATCAACATTTAATGTACATGATGGAAAAGATAACTTCTCGGCAGGAAAAAAGAGTATTTAATGCTCTGTCAAGCACATCAGCAGTCTTAGATTATCTTACAGACCATTATGGCATTTAATTGGACTTCCAAAATTATTTTAATATATATTTTATTCTATACCTATTATGAAACCAGAGGTGGTGACATCTAGGTTTTTACTTTATATCAGTGACTTTTAAACTTTAGTATAAAAACAATCTCTGGGAGCATTTTGAAGAATTCAGTCCTAAACCCCATCCTCAGAGATAGTTTTAAAGAAGACTCCAGGTGGTTCAAACATTCTTGTCATCCTCGGTCCAAACATTACACAACTGCTCTGAATCCTGTTATGGATTGGGGTGTGAGGGATGGATATTTTTTTCCTACTGGAATCATGTTTTTAACATTTTAAATAAAGCTTATTTAATACTAAGTATGACTCATATAGCATCTGTAAGTTAAGAAGTATGTGAGGACAGAGAAGTGATAGCACAAATGCCAACATTACATACAAAATGAAAATGAACAAGAAATTCTAAAGGGAACTGCACTCAGGGCTTATGTTAAAAATTCAAATGGAAAATCACACTGGCACTTCCCAATTGAATTACACACTTGAAGGTATTTGTTTTTAGATACACATAACTGACTTTAATTAGATGTGATGTTTTCCATAAAACTACGATTTGATGGGGCTCTTTAAAATAACATTAAATTTAGTACATTTCAAGTCTTTTGGATCCTTAAAAGATTGAGAGCTTGATAAGAATATCTGTACCTAAAAAGTAGGTACATCTTTTTATGCAACCCCCAACATCTTATATATTAAAAATTTGGTAACTAACCTAGAGAAGATTATGTATTTGAAATATTTCATGGAAAATAGCAACTAGGTTTTGTTTTTCATTTAAAAACCTAGTTTCATACTGTGTTTTTAATGATGTTATTTTTATGCCTCCCAGCAATTTCTTGTAACTTTAAAAATCCCATGGTTTGGGAATGTTACTAATAGAGTTTGTTACTGATGAATGTATACTGCAAGAATGAAGTATCTCAGATTGAAATAAAACTATTTGTGATTAAAGTATTACTCTATATTCCCAATATGGGAGCTCTTATAAGGAAACATTTATCTAAAACTTTTTAATTCAAGAGTTTGGGAATAATTAAATGAATTAATTTTAACATAAAAAACACTGTGCTGCCATATTTTTTTCCCCTTGGGCACATTTTGTGTTCTCACTTTTCAATTAATTTTTTTTTTCTTGAGACAGAATCTCACTATGTCGCCCTCGGTAGAGTGCTATGGTGTCACAGCTCACAGCAACCTCAAATGCTTGGGCTTAAATGTTCTCTTGCCTCAGCCTCCCAAGTAGCTGGGATTACAGGTGCCCACCACAACGCCCGGCTATTTTTTTGTTGCAGTTGTCATTGCCGTTTAGCTGGCCCAGGCTGGATTCGAACCCTCCAGTCTCAGTGTATGTGGCTGGAGCCACAACCATTGTGCTATGGGCACTGAGCCTCAATGAATGTATTTTTAAAGATAACTGGCTTTTTCATTTGACATAAATATCATACCACAGAAATAATAAGGTATGAGCATAATCTAGTCCTTTTGATGGTTTTTAATTAAATCTGAAGTGAATTCTACTAGTGTGTGAGTGCAGCAGCATCACTAGAGTAAGGTGTGAGTTTGGAAGAAACCTGGGAGGAAAAACAAGGGGCTTTAAAACATTTGATTAAAAATCACTTCCTTATGGCTAATTTGTGTCAAAGTATCTTTTTCTTTACTCTTTCTATGATCAAATACATTTGTGATGAATTAAGAAAAAGCACCAGCTAAATGTATTTTTATGTTCTCTATCTACTTTAAACATTAATGTTTCCAAAGTAACAAAATAATGTCTTCAAGAGGATAGTACTTTTTCATTTTTTTTTTCTTTATGACAGTCTCCCTCTGTGGCCTGGGCAGACAGCAGCAGGGTTAAAACGATCCTCCTACCTCAGCCTCCCCACTGAGGTGAGGTGCGTGCCACCACACCGGGCTAATTTTTCCTATTTTTAGTAGAGATGGGTCTCCTCTTGCTCAGAGCTCCAGCTGGTCTTGAACTCCAGAACTCAAAAGATCCTCCTGCCTTGGCCTCCAAGAAAGCTAGGATTACAGACGCCCCAACTAGAAAAGAAAGAAAAAACTAATCAGTCATTTTTCACAAATTTGGGGGAAGCGGTTATTTAAAGAGTATGCTCAGGGCGGCGCCTGTGGCTTAGTGAGTAGGGCGCCGACCCCATATACCGACAGGGTGACAGGTTCGAACCGGCCCCAGCCGAACTGCAACAAAAAGTAGCCAGGCGTTGTGGGCGCTTGTAGTCCCAGCTACTCGGGAGGCTGAGGCAAGAGAATCGCCTAAGCCCA